GTGTTCTTGAAGATGACTTCTTTTGACGTTCACAGTTTTCCTTAGGGAAACTAAATTAAAAATGAGAACAAAAAGTAGATTTCGCTCAAGAATACGTAAAAATGGGTTTAATCGAAATCAAAGAGAAAAGTAGCTGAGCCCATTCGGTCAATGTTATTCTTTCATAAATACTTTGCATATCAAAGCTTTATTTCCCATGGCAGTTATGGACCCGTTGATGAAAAGATCTTGGAGTGGCCTCCAAGACAGATGTAACCATTCGAGAAGGAGTCGAAGCTCCAATAGATGCATAGTATCTATTAAATATTAAGTATCCAGTTTTCACATAGACATAGTCGTATCCGGACAGCAAGTTTCGTTGCATCCACTTTGAAAACAATCACCGCTTAGAGGACACGTTTTCGATCCACCGCAACGAGCCGTTTGGTAAATGGAACCTCTGAAATTATTATCTAAACTAGGTATATTCAAAAGTTAAAATATCTTGTGCTATCTAGCTGAAATTACTCTAAAGCGTAAAATCTCACGTGCACGGACAATTGCGACCGTTTTGTTTATGCTTTTGCTTTCGCAGAGTCCACACATGACCTGCATTCGATCTAAATAGCAATTGTGAACTATTGACTCTTGTTCCTGAGATTTTTGGCTCTGTGCTGTATTTTCTTCCGCAAAATTTGAGGTCCTCAAGAGGCTATGCAGAAATTGATCTACAATTTGTCCTCCTACAATTTGATCTACAATTTATTCACAAATGTAACCGAGTATTTCAAGAAAGAGTGACGCGAGTAAGTGCTTTACTCAAAAAAAAGATCTTTCTCCAGAATCTTTTGTATGTCGGAACCAGAGCCATCGTAGACAACTTTCCTTTTGTTGGTCCACCTTTGCAAGATGAAATGAATCGGTGTATTTGGCCATATAGGCTTCGCCGGGAACTCTGGAAAAGAACTCTGGAAAAGAAGCCTATATGGCCAAATACACCGATTCATTTCATCTTGCAAAGGTGGACCAACAAAAGGAAAGTTGTCTACGATGGCTCTGGTTCCGACATTCAAAAGATTCTGGAGAAAGATCTTTTTTTTGAGTAAAGCACTTACTCGCGTCACTCTTTCTTGAAATACTCGGTTACATTTGTGAATAAATTGTAGATCAAATTGTAGGAGGACAAATTGTAGATCAATTTCTGCATAGCCTCTTGAGGACCTCAAAGTTTGCGGAAGAAAATACAGCACAGAGCCAAAAATCTCAGGAACAAGAGTCAATAGTTCACAATTGCTATTTAGATCGAATGCAGGGTCATGTGTGGACTCTGCGAAAGCAAAAGCATAAATAAAATTATGATATTTGTGAAATTGTGCATCATCATTCTTATTATAAGCGCTTGATAAGCGAAATTATCTAACAATTATTTAGAATTTTATTTAGAAATTTTAAATTCTGATTGTCTACTTGTTTTTTGCGGAATTTAAGTGTTTTTTATTTACAGATAGAACGACGACAAGCGAAATGCTATTTATTATGCGAAAGCTGAGGTCATTTTCAATGGAGAAGCTATGCTACGATCTAAAGCTGAAAGTATTCGATCAGATGAAGCCGAATGATGCGAGTGAGTTGGTTAAGGTGAATGAAGGATTTCGATCGATTCGATTTCGAATTCGATCGATCCTGTTGCGGACACCCTGGATAGTTTTGGGGCATCACGTGCACAAGAACGAATTTCTTGAGGGAGAGATTGAAATCGAGAAACTACCCTCCTACGGCACATCCAACATCATACTGGCTACGGATCTCTATTTTTCATTCTCTAAACGAATTCAATTGTGTGACTATCTGGAGATATTCTTCTAGCAAAAACCAAAAAATCAATTAGAATTTGTGAAAAAGATAAGACTCTGTGTGCGATTTCTCTTTGTGCGGAAACAAACGTAGTCACACGCAACTTTCTCGTTGCTCTTTGCTGAAATTTTTCGAGAATTTTCACGGACTCATTGAAAATGAGGCACATTTTCAAGTGTACTTTCCCGGTTTTTTCGATGAAAATTAAGTGATGAGGAAGCGTTTCGAAAATTTTCTTACAAATCAGGTAAGTCACTGTCGTCAGTGACTGTCGAAACTGACGTTTTGACTGAATGACTGTCGAAAAATCAAACTTTCTCGTCGTGATCTTAATTCGTTTGGTTCCACTTTTCTCCACGGATTCCAATACTACGATGCTTTTGCTAAGATTAAACACTTCGATTAAACACTTGATGATCTCTGAAATGGAAGAGAATAAAATGGATGAGTTCGTGCAATTAATCGTTAAAAAAAGGAATCCCGTGTAAGAATTTAAACGCGGGTTTTTTGTGTTTAAATATGTTAAATCACTAGAAATGATTCCCCGAATGGTCTATTTTCTTTTACACTTCCGATTTGAAGCAATGAAGCGATTTGATGGAGAAAATCAGCCAGAATTCATGAAAATAGCGATCGAACATTTGAAAGATTATTGCGAAGGAAAGCCTAGCTTTGCGCAAAGTCTATTTTTTCGACGAAACATTGACCCGAGCAAGGATTGTGTCTTTACCAGTAAACAAATCAACAAGACAATCCAAAAACATCGCAACTAACGTGAATTTCAGCTTTCGAACTTTTAATTCAAAAAAAAGTCTCAATTTTGAGCAGCAAATAGATTCTTAAACATTGTCTGAAGTTGAACTGAAAAAAGGTGAGCTTATGAAACATATTCCTATTAAACAATCGATAATCGATATTCGATAATCGATAATCGATATTCGATAATCGATAATCGATAATCGATATTCGATATTCGATAATCGATACTCGATAACAATCGTACACAGCTTTTCTTGATACCAAACACTCACTTGACGATTAATTGACTTAGAGAAACATGAAATTTCCCTCAAAAATTTCTCCGCAAGAAGAAAAGCTGCGTTCCCGTTTGAGAGAAAGCCCGATAAAAGAGGCATTTTCACTGAAATTTTTCTTTCAAAACTTCTCGATTTTGAGTTTTTTTTCTTTACAAAAGTCCAACTCAATAACATTATCAACAAAAGAAATTCCTCAAATGTTTTTTATCGATTTCATCATAAGGTAGACAAAAAACAAGTTTTTGTTTTTGAAAACTCTTTTTGTGCAAATCGATTGCTTGAGTTTCATTGAAATTTTTCTTGTTGATTTGGATTTCTGTCCTGATGCAACATTTTGAACAATTTCTCTTATCAATTTCAGTTTTTCTTTTACATTTGACACTTTTTGAGCTCTTTTGCTTAAATTTTTGAAATAGTAATACCATAATACTTTTGCTGCGCTAAAAAAAGGCACTTTAAGCAAAAAGGCACTTGTTGAGCACAAGTTTGAGGTACTAGATTTGCTCGTTGGGTTGGGGTTCGAAAAGTCGAAACAAATCTCGTCTCGCACACTGGACTTGGTCTTCTTGCAGCAATAACTTGAGTAGAGTGTGCTGATCTCGGACAAATAATTATTTAGATAATTTTGAGCAAATAATTCTGTATCCAAATAAATGGGTGAAATAATTGTTGAATAATGACATTCTAAAATGCTTGCTTGAATTGTTGTTGTTGAATAATGACATTCTAAAATCTTTTTGCTTACGTATTTAAAGGCGAACATAATTATTTTGCAACCACTTTGGGGTAGGCTAATTTCCCCAATTTTTTTTTGCGCAACTCGCCATAACTTTCTTCTAAATCACTCAATCTTTATGATATTGGTTTCATTTTGTAGATCTCAATAAGTGCAACAAAATGAAACCAATATCATAAAGATTGGCCGACTTAGAAGAAAGTTATGGCAAATTGCGCAAACGACCCTGTTGCGCAAAAAAAATTGCCGAAATTAGCCTACCCCACCACTTTCGTCTTAATTTTTCAAGTCAATACATAATTAATAATAACTTTCTGTTTTATTTTACCATAATCTTTTGTTTTCTATGCATGTCTCTATGCCGCATACACGCTTTAGAATAGCATTATCCATGATCAACACACTCTAAACTTGAGTATATCGCAAAAGATAAATGCACTGCATTAGAAAGCGTGTGTTTCCGCTTTTTGAGCTCAAAATTACCACTAACCAGGCTTCATTTCGATTTTGATCTAAAACCTTGTTGTTTTCCCCGGTGAAATCCTCTTTTTTTCTTGCTTCATCGAAAAATGCAAGCCGTTAAGGAGACGGCTTGCAAAAAAAAAGGAGATTGCACCCTTTTCACCCTCTTGTGTTCCAATAAAATTCTCTTTCATTTATTGCGCAAGAATTTCTTCAATCTTCAAATCATGATTGTGTCTCTTTTTCGTTCAGTCAGAAAATTCCCTCTGACTAACAGCGTTCAACATTTTATCAGCAAATTCATTTTTTAAAAAATTTTTTCTCGTTTTCATTTCTCTCTCACTTTGGCCCGATCAATTGAGAAAAGTGTAAACTGTAAAATTTTTGGAGATTTTGAAAAAAATAGCCGATTCGTTGATTTGAAACTAACCACAAATTTTGATTTTTAAAATGTTGATACCTTTGCCGAATCAGCTCGGCTCAAGAATGTGCCAAATGTGCTAATTCAAGGTTTTTACTGATCGAGTATCGAATAGCCACAAATTCCTCATGGAAAATTCATCGAAAACGAAAATTTTTCTGAAACGACATCAAATGAGTCGTTGTGGCGTCTTGTTGTCGACAGAAATGTTGAGCAATTTTGAGAAATTTGTCACCCTTTTCAATTTTTCTTGTGTTTTTTGAAAGCGAAGTCGAAACTTGCAAATTGAAGCGTTTTAGCACTTTTTAACACTTGATTCTTGTTTAATTCGCTTAAAAAAAACCTTGAAGTTACTTTTTAAAAAGTATTAAAATCATAGGAAGTTTAACCAATTTAGCTCTTTAACTGAATATTTTTGTCGCAAGGAATGCGCTATATAAGGCTCAGAAGAAATCTTACTTTCTCTTGCGCTCTTTTTCTTCCAGAAGAATTTTCAAAGTCTCTGTCGATTATGTTCAAAGGTCGGTCGTTTTTAATTTACTTCTCAAAACTTTTGCCACACTTTGGCGCTTTTCATTTATCAATCTATCAACTCTTTCGCAATAGTCTACCCAATTTTCTTGAAAACTAAATGCAAGAACTTTTTGAAGCAATTCACGTCACGATTTACTTACATTATATCGCGATTCCAGTGGCCTCGGTCCACAATAAAGCCTTATCTCGATTCATTTCTTCTCTTTTCTTGCGTTTCCGCCGGCTAAAAGGCACTTGTACGGCTTAGCTACATACTATAGCGCTCTCTCCTTGTTCCCTTCTCTTTTCTCTCGTCGACACGTGATTCAATCGAAAAGACTAGTCCCTTTTTCTCCCTTTTCCTTACCCAAACGTTTCGTTCGCTCTTTGCATTACTCAACCAATTTTTGGCGTTTTAGTGATGATCGAGGGAATATTCTTCTATCCAACCCTTGGCTACAATTTGTTGAGGAACCTTGTGCAACAAGAGAACTGGAGCTGGTTAGTTATTGATTTTGGTAGCATTGTATATTTTTTTGTTTAGGTTCAGCCGAATAGACGATGGCCTGGTGTTGGGAGCAATGCCATTCAAATCAATGAAGGAGGAGCTCGTTGAGGTAAACTTTTGATGATGATGGCCTAACAATTAACTAGGGATCAGTATTTCAACTTGATGGGAATACAGGTATCATATGCCTTTGGTACACAAGTGTGCTTTGTAGAAATGGATAGTGTTTACTTGAAAAATGTCATTCAATAAGAGTGATTTCCAATTACGGTTTTCGAGATTGATTTATACTACCTTAACAGGTGTTAGCAAGAGTTTTTAGCAAAGGTTTCTAACATCTCGTCCGATATGTGAAATTCTTGAGTCATGTGGAATTTAATCCAAAACACAAAAAAAACTTTTGTGACTTTTTTGAAGCGTGAATGAATGAATGCTCTGTAAATAAACAATGGCCATAAAATACACAGACTCGCTTAAGAAATTTTTGATTCATTATCAAAGAAAAGCTGACTGGCGCCTTCTTTATTTGGTCTGCACTCTTGATTGGGATATTCTTTAAAAGTGCAAATTCAATGATTAGCGCCTATCCAAAGAATTAAAAAGCATTGATTGGTGTCCAAATTACTTGGCGAAACTCGTAAACATGAAGAAAAGTTATTAATTGCATATAATATTGTTAATGTTTAGAAAGAGAATGTGGGCGGTGTCGTCTGCTGCACGGAGTCCTACGAACTTGTCGCTGCCTGGAGCGCAATGGCTGAGGAAGATTGGAAGGTAAGAAGTTATCAAGTTTTAGTGCAAATATCGTAAAATAAGTTTGGAAACTCCAAGTTTTATTTAAAATAAAAGCTGCATCTAACTGTGTTAACTTTTTCATTTAGGCCGAGGGCGTCGAGTTTTATGCCATCCCTATGACCGACTTCATTGGAGCAGCTGATCCGGCTGAGATGCAAAAAGCCGTCGAGTTCATCAACAAAATTAATTCACAAGGAAAATCGGTCTACGTTCACTGCAAAGTAATTTTGGTTTTACGCAGTATTACCACCTGATTTGGATCTCTCAAAATCAGCTCGAACATTGCGTCGTTGGTACGAGATAGCTTCTACAACCAAGAGGGTTGAGCTGGTTTCAACACCTATATATCTGATTACCATAACAAGTGCCTATAGTTCCTATCTTTTAAAGCTATAGAACCAAACAATATTTTAAAGTGATCAAGTTTAGACCTTTTTGAACAATCAATCAAGAAAAACAGCTTTTTGTAAAATTTCTTTTCAGGCCGGAAGGACACGTTCAGCCACAGTAACGACATGCCATTTGATGCAGAAGAAGGACTGGGATCCGAATGTTGCATTCGAGTTTCTCAAAACTCAAAGAAGACAAGTGCGTTTTTTGGGTGATTTGCACAAAATGTGCTTAGCAAATTAGAAAACGATGATAGGTGTAGTGTTATTTTACTATTAACTATTCAACCTTGTTTTATCTAGGTCTCACTTGGCAGCAATCAATGGCAAACGGTGAACGAGTACCGCAAGTATCTGAACACGAATCCTCAGCTCATCAAATCCGACTCATCATAACGGGAAGACCGACCCCTCCACAAAATAGTGAAATTTCAAAGTTGTCATTTTATGCGTGTGTATTTCCCCCGATTCAAGACGGCTATCTCCTTTTCACTCAAAGACTTTTTACATATTTCATAGTGCGGCATTTTGGCAGAAACTTTATTGTTGTCTATTTAGTTTAATTCAAAATCCAGTAAAGGGAAGACTTGGTTAGCCAAAATTGTTCAACAAACTGTTGGCTTGCTGGTTCGAGTCCATGCGGGTTTATCACAAAAAATTTTCGTTTGGTTATTCTGCCTTTATGCTGCTCTATGTAAATGTCATGTGGTAACTTGCCGGTCAATTTATTCTTTTGTAGCTTAGTTGCTCCATTGAGGTGTTCCCCCTCGAAACTGCCTATATTTTGTGTGTAAAGGATCGAAACTGTACCGCGAAAATTTCTGTTTATACTATTGTCAAAAGTTTTATATCTGGGGAAATAATATGTAAATGAATTAATAAAATTTTAACGATAAGCTAGTTTTTAGGGTGAGGTATTCGATTGTTCGTATAGCGGTGAAGGGACATCAAATAATGATTGCTGACTGAGTTGATAGGGGGTTATTCTAGATCAATATCAATGGATAAGTAATCCATAAAAGTCAATAATAGGTATATATCAATGGATAAAGTACTGTAAAGACAGCTTACAATTGAAATATTCGTTTACAGTTTCTTTTCTCTATCATTTTTTTTTCGATTCATTGAGTCAATGTCCAATCGGCGTGGCCCCAGTTGTCGTCGAGTACTCTGAGTGTTTTGTCGTTTCCACATTCACTGTAAATGTTCGGCCAATACCCAAACCAGATGTTGTTTTGATGGATATCTGAAAAACGGTCAATATTATGTCGGGAATGACGCTTTTTTGGTATTTTGAATGGTAGTGCAAGGAAAAGTTCTAGTTTTGAGCAAACAGAACCTCCAATGAAAATTATTGTACCATTCTTAAAACCAAAAAATGATCTTCTTCACCAATTTCCCTCTGAATCAATTTGTGCGAGTAGCTTTGTCTAATCGAGTTGCCCTCTTTTTATCCCCCTATCGTCTGGGTTTAGTGTGCTTGTAAAATTCTTTTTTTTTCTAGCTTTCAATATGCAAAATTGCTCTAGTTTTTGAATATTTTTTTGATAGAGTGATAGTTTTTTTGTTTCTGTACCTGATTTTTGAATAATTTTCGCAACAGCCTCCGCTGAATAGTTTTATTCATGAAGAGGTAGATAAAAGCCGGAGTTCCTGGAAAAAGACTTCATTTGGTGGGTGAGTTGAGTGCGATCGATTTTTAGAAATGATAATTGATAGATTGTAAGTCTTCAGCCAAATTAAAGATGCTTAAAAAGCAAATATAAATGATTACAATAAGTCAGAAATGCAGTAGGATCTGCGTTTGTTAAAATGTTCCAACTTTCGAAAGCCACCGTAATCTTGCCTCTAATTTTTATCAATTTTCTTTACTTTAGTTTCTTTCTGTATCCTTTGTGAATTATGAAAGAATCAGACCAAAAAGCGGAGAAATTTGATAAAAACTAGAGGCAAGGTTACGGTAGTTTTACGAAAGAGTACATTTAGAAATTGATAGAATATGTTAGGGTAATTTGTGAAATCTCGATCGTACTTCCCATCCATCATTCGCCATTTACAAAACACTACATTGGGTCCTTTCTTTTTTTTCTTTTCTTTGCTACTTTTTAAAAAGAATATTTCCCCTGTCCATCTTTCCACAAACTAACGAAAACCTTTTCAAAAGTCTTTTTTTCTCTTGACAACATCAGATGTGATTCCTTTCGAATTCAATACTTTTCAAAAATGATAAAGTTTTTTTATTGATTTTTCGTGTAAAATACAGAGTGCACATTGATTATGGACCTCCCTAAGACCTCCCTTAAGAAACTCTCAGCTAGAAATGTGTCTTAACAAATACAATCTTTTTTGACAAAGCAGCATTTTCTTTAAACTTTTGACAGGAAAAATCATTAATTTGCTGTACAGTAGACATGGGCAGCGGGTCGGGTCAAAAGTGATCCGCTGACCCGATTCGCGACCCGGCCTTTTTCCCGGATGACCCGCTGACCCGATCCGCGACTCGGTTTTTTTCCCGGATGACCCGCTGACCCGATCCGCGACCCGGCCTTTTTCCCGGATGACCCGCTGACCCGATCCGCGACCCGGCCTTTTTCCCGGATGACCCGCTGACCCGATCCGCGACCCGGCCTTTTTCCCGGATGACCCGCTGACCCGATCCGCGACCCGGCCTTTTTCCCGGATGACCCGCTGACCCGATCCGCGACCCGGCCTTTTTCCCGGATGACCCGCTGACCCGATCCGCGACCCGGCCTTTTTCCCGGATGACCCGCTGACCCGATCCGCGACTCGGTTTTTTTCCCGGATGACCCGCTGACCCGACCCGGCAAAAATTTTTGGCTTGACCCGACCCGCTGACCCGACCCGGCCGCCAAAACTCGAAAATGGACATGTCTACTGTACAGTATGAGCATATATTAACGCAATTTATTTTTAAATCTTTTTCAAAAGTCACGAATGTGGTAGGCGTGTGGGTACCAGGCTTTCGTTAGTCCCAGGCTTTCGCGAGGATTGTTAATAAGAAGCTTAAACTCCGATAAACAGATTATTGAACCTATAGTCTTTGATATTGAGCTAAAAAAGAAAGCTCGAAACATACAAGTTTACCAACTCTAAACGCCTAAGAAATCAAAACGAAATCTCAATAAAACACTTTCTTCTGGCTGTCTTGCACTAGAATTGCCTGTGAGCGGAAGCCTGTGAGCGGAAGCGAGAGATGCTGTTAATGAAACTTTTTATGGAATAAACTTTAACTAGTTTAATAATATAGATCTGTAAAAGATTGAAGATTCAAAACGATTACTATAGGGATTTTTTTTGTTGTCTTGAAGCGGCTCATAATTAATGCGCATCCTGTAAAAGAGCAGACTTGAACATAATCCTAGAGTGGATATTGTCCAGATTTTTGTCTAGAGATCAAAAAATAAACTCAAATTTGGTTCCTTTTGTCTACAAATTTGGTTCCCTTTACTCTACAATTTTGGTTCCTTATCTCTCTAAATTTGATTCCTGATCTCTCTAAATTTGGTTCCTTATCTCTCTAAATTTGGTTCATTTTCTCTACGAATCTGGTTCCTTTTTGTTAAAAAGGACAAAGACAGACCTTGTGTAGACAAAAGGAACCAGATTCGTAGAGAAAATGAACCAAATTTATCTAGAAAAGGGAACCAAATTTGTAGACAAAAAGGAATCAAATTTGAGTTTATTTTTGATCTCTAGACAAAAAATCTGGACAATATCTTGAACTTGAACATAATCCTAGAGTGGATATTGTCCAGATTTTTGTCTAGAGATCAAAAATAGACTCAAATCTAAAATCCAGATCTAAAACCAGAGATTAAAGGGGTAAAAAGTTGAAAGTAAGCTTGGGAAAAACATTGATTTCAATCAGTCATGGCGCTATTGCTTTCACTTTGCATTTAAAAAGGATTCAGCTAGATTACTGCCGCTTTTGACGACACTGTAAACTCCCTATCATTAGCCCTTTGATGCCTGAACATTTGAAAATAAAAATCAAGACATACACACATACTTCTAGCATGCTGTAAGTAGCAAGAACTTCTGAAGGAAACTCTGAGTCTTTCCGTCGTTCAGTTGAATATCTACACTAATGGACAATGAAATATCATATTTGAAAAAAGTTCGTCACTTTCGCGCGTCTGTAACTCCCTTGTCTTTACCGTATTTCTAAATATTAATATTACCATTGTGTAGCCCTTGAAAAGAGCTTTCAGAAAATGTATAACACTAATAGTTTAAACTCAAAGACATGGGAGTTACAGACGCGCGAAAGTGACGATCTTTTTCAAATATCATATTTCATTGTCCAGTACTGTATATGAGTGTTATATATCATTCGAAAGCTGAAGCTCTCCTCTACATTTTGGAATAAAAAACATTTTGAATTCATTCAACTTTTTGGGAAATTGACTGCACAAAGGGAGAGGTCGTTTTCCAAAAAAAAACCCCTTTCAGCTTAGCTATTCCTCAAGTTTTATGGTGTAAAATAACCGCCCAGGAAAGAAAAGAAAAGTAAAGATGCTCTGAAATTGTTATATTTAAAAAAAAAGTTGTATTGATATATATCTATTGGCCAAATATCAAACGGTTAACTCAATTTGAGCGGAGCCAAAACTTGATCCAAAGGCACCCTTCCATTTTTTTGGCCACCTCTTCTTATCATTGTCCAGTACTTTAGCTTTATACAAGCGTTTTTTTTTGGTTTAATTTGTTAACTTTAAACTTTAAATTGAAATTCTTCAAACCGTGCATCATTTGCCACGAGAGATGCCCGATGTGCATGATGAATTGCGTGGGCGGAATGATGACGAGAGAAGCCCAAATGGTGGCCGTCGTGAAAGTGAAGAGGCAAACGAGCGACGATTGGATGAAAAGCTGGAAATCATAGAATTCAGAGGCAATCGAATTTCTCCATAAAATGACAAGGGGAATGACTGGGTGTGGTGGCCAAATTGCAGATGATTCGATGCAGAATTCAACGCCGATTCCGAATCTGCTTTCCGTTTCTGCTATCGAGCACTCTGTCAAAAGTTATGAGCAAAGTTTTGTATGGGGTTTCAAAAGTTTATCAGCAGATTTTCTAGGGATTTGAAGAAGCAGTGGAGCAGTGGAACTTTCCATTGATGATGTTGTCATCAATGGAAAGATCCACTGCTTTACTCAATCCATCAATCCATCTATTTTAATGATAGCTATTTGATTTTAATATTTAAAAGTAAACATCTTTATGAAAAGTAGTTTAAAATAAACTTGTATTTGAAGCGGAGAAAAATTAACTTTACAAATCCAAAAAAGCAAAAGAAGTAGAACAGCGGACTAGAAGTAGAAGTAGTAGAAGAGAAAGAAAAACAGAAATAGAACAACGAGAGGGTCCAAACTCGAACTTGCCTTGTATTCTAACCCACTGCCACTCAGCCACTGCTTCTCGAACTCCCTGAGAAATCTTCTTATAAACTAAGAGTGTCAGAGAGTGTTATAATCTCAGAGAGTGTTATAACCTATAAATTTGAATTTTGAAATCGCATACAAAACTTTGCATGCTTATAAATTTTGACAGAGTGCTCGATAGCAGAAACGGAAAGCAGATTCGGGATCAGCGTTAAATTCTGTGTCGAATGGTTTATGGCTCATTTGGCCACCACACTCAGGTGATTCCCTTTTGAATAAATAAAGACTATAGTAAGTTACAATTTGTAAGCGATACTCTGAATACTCAACACGGTTGAAAGTGTACGGTACTATAGGAAATAAGAGGTAAGTCAAACGTTAAGCATTTATTTTTTCGTCCTACAATTCGATCTTTTATTATTGTACTCTAAAATTTTAACACCAACCTGCTTTTGAAATTTCGATTTCCCGGTTTGCACGTGTTTCAATTTGATCGAGTTGATGATGTAGATGAGAATGTAAACAACACAAATGCCGATGCAAAGGGACATGTTGTTGATCGTTTGATAGATCGATGAGAACTGAAAGGTTTCAGCTGAATTGCGAATTGAATCGTTGATCGTTTGGTTTTCTTGGAAACGTTTTCTGAAACGTGTAAACTTTCGAGAACTAGCGTAACTCTTTTTTATCCTTCTCTGAGCCTAATAGTTTGCACAAAAGCTAGTCTCAAGTTTACGATCGTTTTGTAAGAAATATATATTTATACTTTGATCTTTATAATTTCTTGTAAGACCGTGTCTCGGTGTGGTTTAATGGTAGATGTCTCGAAAACGCACAATTTATCAAAAATTTCCCTTATTAGGGCAAACTTCGCTCAGACTGGAGCAACCTGGCACTATCACAATTACTTCAACACTTGTGTGTGAAAAAAGGATGAATAGAAAAGGGAGCCCACAACTCACTCCAAAACAAAGCTTAAATAATGGGTTTTTAAGTACACAAGCTACGACAAACGGACAACTTGAATATCGTCTAGTGGCTGATTACGGTAGTTTATCCATCAACTTTGAATTTTAACTTGTGTATTGAATTTTGACTAACTGCAGAGCAGTGGCAATTCGCCACACGTTTCCAAGTTGACAAGCTTTAGAAAGTGCATTATTTGAATCATATCCTAGTCCTTAAATTCTCTTACCGTATTCTCATTTCCGGGGATCAACGGATTGTAGATCCATGTCCCAAAAACGGGACTAAACAACACGGGCGGTGTCCAGAGATACAAAAAACCGTAGCAAAGACCGAGAAGAACGATGAACCAGCAACGATTACCCTACGATTTCGAAAGTTTCGAAATCAAAATTATAATCGAATACCCCGAAAATCGTTTCCCCGATATGGGGCTTCCAAAAGTCGAAAAAACGATTGCACACAAGCAGGAAACAGAGAGCACAGCAAGAGTTGAAAATGACTAAAGTTGAGAATGATTTCAGCTCTATTTCAAGACCAAACCATCAACGGCCACTCCACACAGAAACATCACATTTGGGAACATGCAATACCAAGCGCCAACCACTAGGAAATACCCTGAAAGTTTGGTTTACTTGATTGACTGAAAATGACTGAGAAGTTGAGGATTGTTCTCTTGATTGTTCTCTTGATTCAAAGGCTTTCTAGCATTGCTTTCGCTTGCTTAGAGAAGTGTACTAGTGTACTTAATTTCTCGCTTTTCTTATTGTACCGCAGAGTTGTTTCAGAGATAACTTTTCCAGCCTCCTCTGGCCTAGCCTGGCTTACTCTGGCCTAGCCTGGCTTACTGCAAGGCTCAAAAAGTCATGAGAAGCCAGTTTCTGACTAGTCTAACCTGGCAAAACCACCTGACTGATTGTAAAACTGGCTCAAGAAAAGTCAAGCTTAACAGAAACTGAATCTCAATTGTAAGCTATGTCTTTACACCTGGACTTTAAAGGCTCTAGATCTCGATTGAAACATCCCAGACTATCCAGACTTATCAGTTAGTATCACCAGAATTTAATCTTGTTTAATTGCTATCCTGGTTGATTCACAAAGAGTATCTAGGTGGAGTAGCTAGTCGTAAGTCTTGGAGCTGGCCTACCTGGCTTACAGGACCTAGAATCAGATAGAGACGTTCCTAACCGCTTCTCATTGAGAAGTCTAGTTCAACCTGTGTCCATTTTTGAGCACAAGCATTTTTCATGGAATCTTACTGTAATCCTAGCCAAGTTAAAGGCTAAGTCTAAGGTATTCCATCTATTGGGTTGGGGAGAATGAGTCGGCGCCAAACTTTAAAGGGACTTTTTGCACACATAAAGCCTTCTTTAAACATACGTTTGGTTTGATCAAAAGGATCCACTATTTCTCTACAAAATCACTTTTGAGAGATTCCACAAAGCTTTTCTTTCGTGGAGTTTATGAACTTCCAAATGGCAAAGAGTCCGACTCATCATTTGAACAGTTTCTTTCACATAAACCTTCTTTGGTGTTTATATAAAAAAGATAGAGCACATTGAATTACTTAAGTTGCCAAATTTGCAGGAAGTTCCCACCAATGGTTTTTTCTAGATGACAGTTTGTAGTTTTTGTGAAAAAATGGCTTTTTCTTGAGCGGAGGCGCTGTTTGAATTTTCTTTTAAATGTGATTTTGTAGAGAATTAGTTAACCATTCTACTGATATCAAACGCATATTATTTGACGAAGTCGAATAGAAGTTTTAGACATTTTTTTCATTTTCGGCGCCGACTCATTCTCCCCAACCCAATAGAATGTAAAAGAACTCGAATTCCTTTTTACGAACCTGTCAGCTCACAACTGATAATGATACACAATGAGTCGAGGATGCCTGAATGACTTTTTCGAAGAGTATTCAGCTTACAGTTTACCTAGAGTGAACATGAATTTATAGCAGGACATGCTGAGGAATTCTTTGTCTTTGATTACGGATAAGGCCAAGCAGTAAGCTATCTGAAAAGGATGTTTGTAGATTTTAGAGATAAGCTACAGTAAAGCATGCTGTAGATTTCTAAATTATCTATAATTCTGAAAGATATGCAAATTTGATTCCACCTGTGCCGCGATTCCATATAGAATGTAAAAGATTCCACTCAATGTAGCTGGTTCTCCTTTGTGTGCGAGGAGATCGGTGACATTTCTGAAAATCTTGAAAATAGCTACAGTTTATTGTAGCTTTATCTGACTGAATATCGTTAGCTTTTGAGCGATTTGATAGATATTCAGTCTTGAGATGAGTCACTTACTCGCAACTGTACAATGGTGATCGTCTAAGAGAGCCGTATTCTAGATAGACTTGCATTCGAAAATGAAACTGAGTTCCTGAAACATTAAAGTAGAAATTTGAGAATTAGATTGAGAAATAGAAAGCCACAAAGCAGGGATTGGAGGTTTTCTAAAAGATGGAGGAAACTACCGTACTCTGACTAACATACACCGTAAAAACAGGCGAATGAAGCTGGTTTTTGGTTACCTTGATAGTTTAAGCCCATAGGGTTAAGTAAAGCTTAATCTATTACCGTAATCCCTATTCCCACCCTGATCCATAGCTATCGTAATCCGGAGCAAGCTACCGTAGTCCCTAGTCAGCAGTTATCGTAAACTATCCTATTCTATAGCTGCCGTAATCCCTCATCCGTTACGATCCCTAAAATGTAGCTACCGTAATTCGTAATGCTTAGCTGTCGTAACCTTGTAGAAAACAACAAGTTTAAAGCTGTTCACTGAAGCTAAAATTGATGGGATAAAAATTACAACTAGCAAATGGGAATTCAAATTTATAAGGAAGTCCAGGATCCAGGAAACTGGTCCAGGATCCATTCTTAATCCAGGAAACAATTTTGAATCTGACAACCAAAGGGTTTTATCAAAATTTCCTGAAGATTTCATTTCTGGCTTTCTTTTTTCATTTCCTGGATTAGATTTTGTGATCAGATTATGTCTATTGTTATATGTCTATTGCTATTATATTACTGTCTATTGTTCAATGGGACAAATTGGTAGAAACGTGAAGAAAGTGAGTTGAAGTTGAGCAACTCCACAATTCAATTCGATTATTCCAGTTCCGCGTTTGTTTTTGAATATTGATTATTGATAAAGTTTTGGAGATTTTTGTATATGGAGCACATTATACAGACACGTTGAGATCCAGCTTCGTCCAAACGTGTCCTCCAGATAGCTCTTGTTGTCTTTTTGTTGTACTTTGTGCTTAAACACGAAAACAAATCTCTCCTAATGTACTCAAATCTTTGCTCGGTGCAAGAGACCAGTAAACCTACTAAAACTACTAAAGACTACTAAAGACTAAAACCAGTAAACCAGATTGTTCAAAGGATACTTTAAACAGACAATTAAATAGATCAAAGTCAAGACAGATACAGTAAACCCTGAAACAAGAATGGTATACCATAAAGATTCACGTTAAGATCTAGCTTCGGTAGATATTACGATAGATTTCAAGCAATGGAAAGTTTTAGAGAACGTGTTATTTGAAAAAAACGAATCTATTGGGTTGGTGAATTGAAAACTGCGGGCTATTGTCATATGTGACAGTTTGAGCACTTTCTTCAAAAGAAACCCATTTTGGTGTCAATGGAAAAGTTGTAGAGAATCAAAAAACAAGCTTATATCCAAATTTTCAGAACGATTCAAAAACTCGTTTTCAAGAAATGCGAAATTTACGAATTTTCACAAAACTTGCATTTTAAGCGAAACTACTAAGTGTATCTTTTTGGAAATTTGGCTATAAGCCTAACTTTTGATTCTCTACAACTTTTCTATTGACGCCAAAATGGGTTTCTTTTGAAGAAAGTGCTCAAACTGGGACATCTCCAGTTCTCCATTTTTGAGTCTCACACTTGTCTCACACACAAAACAAAATCCTACTACGAAAGAGGAATCCGCAAATTGCCTGTAAAATGAGTAGAAGTCGTCAATAATAATGGAAATTATTTGGAATGAATTTATGGTTTTATGTTGAATAAATTTTAATTCAAAGTCCCGCAGTTTTCACCAACCCAATAAAAGAGGAAATCTGTTAGAGAATTTACTTTTTATCTAAATAATAACTAATAGCATGTTGCAAAACCGATTCGCTCTAAAATAAAGAGCCTTAGTTGGGAACTTCTGGCGCATCCCCCATACAGTCCGGACCTCTCCCCTTCTGATTACGATTTATTCCGGACCATGAGTAATGAGCTTTCGGGAGAACACTTCGATGCAGAAGAAGCAGTCAAAAATTGGCTTTGAAAGTTTATCGATTCAAAACGCAAATCCTACTACGAAAGAGGAATCCGCAAATTGGCTGTAAAATGGGCAGAAGTCGTCAATAATAATGGAGATTATTTAGAATGAATTGATGGCTTTATGTTGAAGAAATTTTAGTTCAAAGTCCCGCAGTTTCCAATTCACCAACCTAATATTTGAAAGATTACAGCACTTCAAAGTGAAAACGTGAAAGATTATCTAAAAGATTGACAAGAAAACTCAAATTCTTTTGCTTGAAACTTCTTTTATATTAGTATCCATTCGTTATCCATTTGATCACCATTTGGTCACGGGAATTTCCCTTTAATCGCCTAAGAACAATGTACAGAATTATCCATTGTTTAGTAGATTTAATTAAAAAAAACTGAATACGCCATTTATCAAAAGAAGGAGGCTTTCCGATACTTTGTGACCAAAGAAAAACGAATTCAATTCGATCATTTAAACAACAACGACTCTTTTATTCTCAAAAACCAAACAATATTTGTGATTTCTTCTGTTTTTCATCAAAATTCTTCTGTTTTCGTTTTTTCTCGGCATCAGGAAAAGGATTGACACAATTCTGAATTATATTTGTTACCGAAAGACTTGGAATGATCTCAAAGTATCTCAAAGGTTACAAGAAGTCAAAATATAACTTGACGGCATAACGATTTAGCTAATTTGTTTAATTGGTCAATTATCTTGATAGTCGAAAGGTTTCTGGTTCGAATCCCGGGGCCGTATCTCAAAAAACATGACATGTCAAACTTAATTTACACTATTTGAGTGATATTTTAAAGAAAATTTTTGCCTTTAGCGAATTGCCACTACTCTGGAGATAATCAAATCCAATAAACAAGTTAAAATTTAAAGTTGATGGATAAAATACCGTAATTGGTTACTAAACGATACTCCGTTGTCCGTTTTTTTAAACTCTGTGTGAAGTAAACAAGTAAACAAACCCCCTTTCAGCTGGCTCTATGCTGTTGTTTTCTCTATCTGCAAGTCGCGTGAAATAGCCCGCAGTTCTCAATGCACCAATCCAATATTTATTTAGTAGAGCTCTATTTAAGCTTTACCAAATAAATAAAACTTTAGCTCTAATATTTTAAGCTAGTTGATAGGTTTCAATGAGTGATGCGTTTTCTAAAAGATGACTAATTCGGAAAACTACCTTTTGGACGACGCATTACTCTAGGGTTACTCTAGGGTTATCTGAATGCTAGATAGTTAGTTACTTCAAGAAGTTAAGTTAGAAGGTAAGTTAGAAGTAAGTTAGAAGTTAGAAGTAATTTCTAATATCAAGTGCTAGTAAACGAGACGGTAAGTTTTATAGAATTTAGCGTTAAAAACTGATCGGAGAGTTTAAATTTCATTCTCTTTTTCATTCTCAAGTTTTACTCTTCATTTAAACCATTTGACATCAAATCATAGCCTTCATTAAGGCCTTGAGTAGTTTAATCAACTCAGATCTTACTACATTGTACTTTGTGCTTAAAAGTTTGAAGGCCTTCTGGCGCACAGTCGTCATCTTTCTTATGACACCAGATCATTAAATCAATAATCGATAAAAGGATGTCTTTCCAATGAGCACAAAGTACACCATCAAATACTTTAACACATCCTTTCTGGGGTAAGAATTTACTCAACCCGAAATATAGATTGACTGCCAGTTGATCTTTTTTCAATCCAAAATCATAACTCATACTAATCCCAGTAATCATAATGAAAGTATCATAAGTGTCACTGTTTTCTGTCTTTCAAATCTCACCCTTACGTGTCTCTTTTTATCCCGTCCAGCCCTCCGAAAATTTGATTCAATTTTCACGCCTAATTTTCTTTACATTCTTTCTTCTTTCCTTGTACAAAAAGATCGGGACACAAAAATCGAGGTGACGCAGAGATTCTTTGTCTAAAAATGCTCCCGACTTTGCTCGTAAACAATGATTTTTGTAAATTGTGGAATAATTGCTTCTCCAACTTCTACAATTCATATTTTGTGCGAAAACAAAATTTTTGTCCTTATTAGAGGACTTTTTTTCGTTTTGCTTTTCAGACACGAATTCTAGTTTTCGATTGGGTCACAGTTTGGAAAGAATTTAAGCTATTGAAGGGTTTTAAAAGTGCAGAAAAGCTACCGTAAGCCTGTTGCAAGCTGTGCATGTTTCAAGTCAAGCCAGACTCGGCGGTCAGGCCAGATCTAGACTTACTATTGCACATTAGCTTCACAATATTTCTGGCTATCAGATTTATATTAGACTTGTGATATGGTAAGCTAGATCTAGCTTAGAATCGAAGTCTGGGCCAGGTTAGGTTAGGCTTTCAGGCCAGGCTCAGGCCTAGGCTGGTAAAGGTGCGCTCATTGAATCGGCTATCTATAACCATCTATATGTCGTAGCCGATGAAGGATTTTAGCTAGCCGAAGAAGTCTGAGACTTCTTCGGCTAGCCGATTAAGTCTCAAAAATGAAATCTTGAGTTATGCATTGACTCAAGTCAATACCACAAACTCAAGCTCTCTAAAAGGCGCTTAAAAGCTAAGAACGCATTCTAGTTGCAGTTGCATTTTGCATTTTTCGACTTTTTTCGATTTTTTGAAATGATCCTGGTAGACCATCAAAAACTTGAATTCTCCATCGGGAACGGATTGAAGATCGATTAAATCCACCTGGCATCTCTCGTTGAAATCCTTTGTAACAATTGGCTTCACGACTATTCCTTTCTTTGGTGTTCCTTTTTTGGGCTCGCATTCTGGGCACAACTTGACAAAAATTTCGATTACTTCTTTTGAGATCCCATGATAGTCTCGTAGTCCTTATCACATTATATCTCGCTTGGTATTATTTTGGTATTATTGTTTAGTTTTGTTGTTTAGTTTGGTCGAAAAATGCAACTTGCAATGAAAAATGCAAAATGCAACTGCAACTAGAATGCGTTCTTAGCTTTTAAGCGCCTTTTAGAGAGCTTGAGTTTGTGGTATTGACTTGAGTCAATACATAACTCAAGGTTTCATTTTTGAGACTTAATCGGCTAGCCGAAGAAGTCTCAGACTTCTTCGGCTGAAATTCTTCATCGGCTACGACATATAAACATCTATAAACATAAACAAACAATATAAAAACAACATTCACGAGTCAGTCCATTTTCTTGTAAAATGTAAAGTAAAAAGTTGAAATGTAGATTTAAACATTGTGAAGTTGTGAAGATTCCAACGAGCTTTTCGTGTAATTTCTTCTCAAACATTTCAAGTACAGCCATTCTACAATCCTATCTTTGATCGTTTTGAAATGGTTGAAATGGTTCCTTTGATGGCACAAACATTAGTAAATATTGGATGCTTTGAGAAACCTTTTGAGAATCCGTTTATTTTTTGTCGTTTTTCGATTTTTGGGTGGGCGAATTGTCCACCAAATCCCATAAGAGCTCACACTTTTAACAGCTTGTTCCAAGGCGTCAAACTTTTAAAAGTCCGCGAGCTGTTTATTTATCTCCTTCTTCAAATCCGATCCCTCAGCTTTTTGATTTCCAAATATTGTCCTGGTCTACCCAAATACTCTCTAAATGCTCACTGTTCGACAATTCTTGCTTTCTGACAATTCGGACAAAAGGAGCAGAAAGCCAAGTCGAACTTTTTAACGCTACCGTAGCCTCGTTCTTATCTAAAGATGTCGAAAAATCAAAAAATTGATAGATTGGAGAAAAACTAGAAAACTAACGTAGTTTTTGAAAGGTGCCGTGTTTTAGAAAACTCATGATTCGAGGCAAACTCCGCTCTAGCTTTTCCACATTTTCGAACTTTTCATTAGAAAGAATGTACTGTAAGAAGACTGTAATCTTCTTATTTTATAAGATTTGTAATTACAAGTTCAAAAATGTGGAAAAGCTAGAGCGGAGTTTGCCTCGAATCATGCGTTTTCTAAAGCACGGCACCTTTCAAAAACTACGTTAATCGTGCCTCTAGTTTTTCTCCAATCTATCAATTTTTTGATTTTGTACTGTAAGAAGACTGTAATCTTTTTATTTTATAAGATTTTCACAAAAAAAAATACAAAAATATTTATTATCTCGAAAATTTCTCATTTTTTACTTTCTAAAAATATCTTTTTTTGTTGAAAAATGATATCTTTTGTTAAAGTGACCGAAATTTTCATTTCATTTCCGATACGTTTCTGTCTTGACGGATATAACATTAGAATGGATAATATTCTGAAAAGATTTGGGATTTAAAAGATTAGGGGATTTTCAAAACTTACGCATAATAAATATTACAAGAATAGGGAAAGATGACATTTTGAAATAGGAAGACTTTCGAGAAAAGGAAGAAACCCGTGTGAAAGAGATAATTTAGACGCCAAGCTATTTCGAAATAGTAATTCTCTAAGAGAATATGGAATAAAGTGATGAAATTGCAGGCACAGATCTGGAAAGGATTTGAAACTTTTAAAAGCTACTGTAATCTTGGTACAGTTCGCCCAGTCTATCTACAGGGTGCGTCATAATTACTCATAATCACTCTGGAGTAGAGTGTGTTCCTCTCAAGAAATAGTGCGAAATAGGAAAAAGGTCAGGTCGAAGGTCGCGTCGAAGGTCTAGGTCGCGCGCCAGGCTAAGCGCGACTTTGAGAGCTTGTTTGAAAAGTTTGTGAACTGCAACCGGTTAAATAGGGGGCACTGCTACAGGAGACCCACTCAACATTTGCCTGTAAAATTTTTGTGGGAATGGGCTATCTTTTGACTGAGCTACACCCTCCAGAGTGAGTAATGAGTAAATATGACGCACCCTGTACTTTTTGTATATTTTGTTATCTTTGTGAAGCCTCGTAGAGTTAGATTAAAAGTAGACAAATTGGATAAGACTTTAGGCTCAGCTTCAATTCAATCATCACTTTTATATCTTTCACCGAATTTGATCAAAAATTCGATAAAAACTAAAGATAAAAGTACAGTTTTCACTTTTTTAAGAAGATGTTTTAAGAAGACACACTTTGGTTTTACGCACTTGAACTTGTTACCTGAACAGCCAATTTGAAATCATGCCATTCCTTTGTGGCCACTTTTTGTTTCTAAAATTAATCAATAAAATGATAATAAAAGCAAATGGCAAAGAAAGATTTTTGGGGATGGGATTGAACCCTCCCTCGACCTTTCACCACCCTTGACCTTCGGGGGAGATGCTTTAACCACTGAGCTATCCCGTACCACGTCGGGGCGAAGAAAGAGGAAATACAAGGGGGAAGAGAAGGGCATTTTAAATTAAATAATTGTCTTTCTTTGGACCTCTTGCTCATAAAAAAGTTAAAAATCAAAAAAAGCTACAAAACTCACAAAATACGATCGAATCTTGTAAATTCCCAGAACATCAAAAATCAGGGCCAATCCTGTAATAAAAGAGGAGATGATGACAAGAATTTGATAGGCGCTTTGCGTATAAACACCGATACGCACCACTGCGTAATTGATCGGAAAATAAACAGTGTTGTCACCGGATTCTGAAACAGTTTGATATCAATATCTGTATTGTTTTTACCATTCAATATCAATTCCGCGTATAGAGGAGTGCCGGGGATTAAAATAAAGAGAATAGCTTGAAGCGCTGGATATTTAACGACATGCGAAAAATATTTCCCTTTGGCGAAGATTGCAAAGAATCGATTGATTGATAGAGAGAACTGGCAAAAGATTGGAATATATGTGCACAATTGGTAAATGATTGCGAGGTGGTGGTTCAGAGTGTAGTTACACCAATAGATGCTGCAAAAAGTTGGACAGTGTTGAAAAGAAGAAAATCAATCAGCTAAGTCATGCCTGACTTTTGATTGTTTCGAATAGTTTTTACCGTATTTTCTCTAATAGTAGTGCACCGTAGGTTTCGCTTAAATTCCTCGAAATCTCGAGAACCGCTTATCAGAACCTATTGATGTGGGGGAGGAAAATGTAGCTGACGATGAGATCTAGTGGGAGATTTGAGTGTTGAGCTTCTGGGAAAAATTGGAAACCGTAAAATAGTTATCAACTCGGCGGAGTGCACTACTATTAGAGAAAATACGGTATTATTTGCCTTATTATTGGCTTGGCTTGGCTAAAGTCCCTGCTAGAACCTGGCTCACAGGACTGATGGAAATATCTTTGGCTAGACACCGTATTTCCTCTAATAGTAGTGCACCGGTCTCTAATACCCTGAGCGTCGCCTAAATTGCTCGAAATCTCGAAAAGCGCTTATCAGAACCTATCGATGTGGGGTCGGAAAATGTAGCTCACGATGAGATCTAGTGGAGGATTAAAGTGTTGAGCTTCTGGGAAAAATTGGAAACCGTAAAATAGTCATCAACTCGGCTCGCCGGGGTGCACTACTATTAGAGAAAATACGGTAAATCAGAGCCACTACTAAATCAACCAGGCCAGACCAATTGTCTTTTAGCATGGACTATTGCAAAAATCAATTTGAACAGCAGGGACTTTAGCAGGCTAAAGGCTAAAGTCCCTTTGACTCAGCCCTGTTCTTAACGATCCATTACCTATTTCACTCACTTATTCGAACATCCAGCAAAAACAAAACCACAAAGCGAGCAAATGATTCGAGCGAGGTGACTGCCGAGAAAATACATTTTCACAACTTTGTGTAAACGAGAATTCCGGAAGACGATGAGAGATGCGACGAAATTGGTTACGGTAGCCAAAGTAGAGAACTGAACTTTTGACTATAATTTATAAAGCTTTATCAAATGAAATTCTCACCCCGAAGAACAACCCGATTGCCACTGAATCCGTGTTAAGGCCGAAGTCGGCACTCATCGAAATCGATAAATATGCAAGTTGGGGGGAAAAATTGGGAAAACTTGCTGATTTGAACACCAGCAAGTTTCAAGGTGTTTTTCTTTTGGGAAATTTGTAATTTGATTTCGCCCGTAAATTGTTTGACTCGCGATTCAACCCGGGCACGAAACCCACGCAAACGTCACACCTTATCAAAAAAGAACTTTTGAAAATCGCATGACACAAGTAATTAAGCGTCATGTCCTTTTTGAGGTTTGGTTACTGTAGCTAGGTCACGAAAAAGATTGACTGGTCACAGTACCTTTGAGCAGCTGTACTTATACAATGAATTAGAGTAGTACCAGATGTACTTATAGAATGAATTACAGTAGTGCCAGATGTACTTCTACAATGAATTAGAGTAGTGCCAGAATATGTTACACATGTCCAAGCGTAAATTAATTACCGTTTCTTTTTTTTTGCAAGTCTATAAATAATAAATGTGTGTTTTCATTCCCGCCTTTAAAAAAGTTGAGATCTTATCGTACAACAACAGCGCTTAAAAGATCCTCAAAATTGATCTCAAAATTGCGATTTTTATTTAAGATTACCTAAATCGATTCCGCATCGGATGGAATTATTGCTAGAAGTAAGAAGCATGCTTAGTAAATCTTTTTTTTCTTTTAACCTACAACAATTTCAGTGGTTTATCTATGTGTTACCGTATTTGGTGATACTTGGAGCAATTTATGGTCTTCAGCGATTCTTCTTGAACAGGGTAACTAATTGAAAGTCTACAAAAGAATTCAAAAGTCTACAAAAAACAGTTTTTGCAATCTCAACCAACGATGATCGAATTTTTGGATGGAAAAGGCAATCGACGAAAGCGGCCAACGAATCTTGACTTATCAAGAATCACTAACAAAAATTGATTACAGTATTGGTTTTCCAATTGTCGGTACTTGCCCATTTTGTCTTTTTTGCCATAACGATACTTCTGTTTTGTATCTCTTGCACAATTCTTGCACAATCTCTCTCATTTCTCCTTTTGTGTCGTTGCAAATCAATTCAAATTCATTAAACACAGTTAAATTAAATAAATGTTAATGAAATGAGATCTTTTAAAGACAAGGTAAAAAAATCTTGAAGTTTCACAAAAAAAAACTGTTAATTTGAGGAATAAGGCGGAGAATAATTAAAGATGTGAATGTACGATTTGGATGACGAAAATGGCAGTAAATGTACAAGAAGTGACAAAACAAATTAAATCTGGGCAACCATGAGATCGATCATTTATTGGGCTGGCTTCTGTCCAGGTTGACCGGCGGGTTGTCCCTTCTTTGACATCAAGTAGCGATGGATGTGTGGAATCACACCTAAAGAGAATTGTTGTTAGGGTTGACAGAATTGTTGTTAGGGTTGTAAAGAAAGGTTGATATTAATTTGTAATAACAGCACTTCAAGAAAAGTGGTGTTATTACAAATTAATATCAACCTTTCTTTGAACATTCTCCTATTTGAACATTCTCCGATATTTTCAAACGTTAATAAGTTACCTCCACCGGCGATGGTGGCCTTGATGAGAGTGTCCAACTCTTCATCTCCACGGATGGCCAAATGCAAATGACGAGGAGTGATTCTCTTCACTTTCAAGTCCTTTGATGCGTTCCCGGCGAGCTCAAGCACCTCAGCGGTCAAATATTCGAGGATGGCGGCACTAAAAGAAACATAAAAACAAATAAGAAGAGTTTGGATGCTAAAGATGTTACAATTACAAAGTTGACTGTTTAGCACATTTCCTTGTATCATTTACGATCCGATTATGCACACTTTATACTTGTTTATACTTAAAATTAATCCATCTACAGGTAGAAAGTATTTTTTTTCTTTGGTACTTTATAAATACAATTAGAGTTGTCATTCACAAAGCTCTTCTCTTCTTAAGCCCACGTATAGACAGACTACTTGCTCAATCTTAAATTCTAATCTTAAACAAAAATAAAACTAACCTGTAAACAGCAGCGGTGGCTCCAACACGCCCAGAGCTGGTCGTCTTTTGCTAAAAAAATCAAGCTAAGTATCTCTACTATATAAAAAAATAATCTCTGTCTGTCTGTGCGCGTCCCCTTTGAGTATTTTAAAAAACCCTGAAACACGTCTTTAATGCAAATTTCATGTAGTTGTGCCTTTTAAAAAATTTTTGCAAAAAGTCAAAGTAGGTGGTCACTGGCCAAAGTCGAACCCGGGTCATGTGAGGCGTCAGTCGAGCGCGCTATCCACTGCGCCATGGGTTTAATTTTTATTTTATGCTGAATTTTTATTTTATTTTTGCATGCCGGGCTTTTCCAACAGAGAATTCGTTTCTGGCAATCATTTTTACGATTTCTGAAGCAGCCGGCCGTTAGGCAAGCTGTTCTGTTGGTAATATGTATAAATAAAAGTAGATTTGCTTAGTTTACCTTGAGGAATCGATGGATACGTCCGACAGGGAACTGCAGTCCAGCGCGAAATGAGCGAGACACCACTTTGGTTTTCGCTTTTCCAGAGTCCTTTCCAGCCTTTCCTTTGCCTCCAGCCATTGCTTCTGAAAAAAAATCAAAAATATCACGGTCAAAACTATTTAGAGCTTTTTTTTACAAGCATAAAAGTATTCAGTCAAGTGATGAAATATTTTCGAAGCACGAGTTGAATTGTGGAATCAAAGAAATACTTCTGCACAAAGTTTTTAAACAAAATCGAAGGATTGTCCAAAGTTGGATCTTTTTGTGGTCAGGAATGAAAGAAAATGTCTCTGGGGCACATCAAACTAAACAATTTTGACCGGGTTCCCGCGCTTCTTTCTCTGCCCGCCCATCGTCTGTATACAAAGCGCAACAGTGGCACTTTGCCAAGCGAGTCACCATTCTTATGACAACCCAGGGTTACGGTAATTCATTCTTGGCACACTTTAAAATTGTGCCCCTTTATCGCCTCTCTCCACAGAATTTGAAGTTTGAAATCGAAAAGAAGAGCCAATTTTGTAAAACTTCTCAAGAAAAGTTTTTTAAAGATTCAAATGATACTTATCGAAAATTTTATATATAATTGAAAAGATTTTTAAAGGTAAAATTTTACATCAGCTAAATCTTTCATCGGTAACTTTCGAAATTTAAAATGTGACAAGAAATATTACACACGAGTTCCTGCAATTTTACGTTTTGCTTCGTTTTTTCCTTTTTGAAAACACCTTTTGTTCTAATAATGATATTCTAATCTTCTTTTTCCAGGTAATGTCCACGTCGGGTGGTTCGCGTGGAAAATTGGCGCAAGGATTCGGCACAAATGGAGCTGACCAAACGGCCGCCTCACTCTTTGACTCGGTTTTCTCGAAGCCGTGAGTTTTTTTAACCGGATTATGAAGAATTAAGATATAGACGCCTTTGGCTTTGGCAAGGATTCATCATAAACTTTAGTGCCAATCGCTTTCCAAAACGGCCAGTGCTCGTTGAAGAAGAAAAGGATGCACTTCCTTCGGTTGTCTCTGAGGCTTCTACATCACGGAATTTGGGTAAATTTTAAAACGTATTTTCAACGCTTTATTGAACATATCAGCCGACCAATAGATTAACAAACACAGTAACGCACAATAAACATTGAACACATACATCAGTTTGCAGTAGTTTTACAAACACAGTTTAAACGCTCAATAGCCAATAGCCTCGCAAACATATTAAATGCATCAGCCGAACAGTAGAAACACAGTTATCCGTAAAGCACCAAATTTTTTATGAAAATGGGAATATTGGGGTTAAAAATACCTGAATTTGAAGAATCCGTTAGTTTTCTGTTAGTTTTCCGAAATTCACGTGTTTCCGTGTCAAAAATACTGTTTACAGAAAAAGTGTCAGAACTTTTGAAACACCCTGTATATAACAGTTAACTTGTTTTGGTTTAGATGGAAACCAGAAGATGATGTCGCCTCCAGTGAGCTTGCCCGAATCTACTTCCACTGAAGGTGATGGAAACGTCGATCAGGTATTTTTTTTGAATTGGTACTTAGTGTGATGTTCAATAACTATTTAATTTAGTCACCATCTGGCTCAAATTCGGACGATGATGATACAATGGACTCTCAGCATTCAAGTGGACCCGTTCGTCGACCACCCAAGCACACATTGCCTATTTCATCTAACTACGAGTTTGATGACAATTTCGATGAAGATTCAAACACTCCACCTGCATCAAAACGAGCAAAGTCGCCAGAAGAAGGTATTTTTCTTTTAAAATCTGATACCATCTGATGGATTTTAGAGCCGCAACAAAGTTTGAGGCTTTTGCCAAAGAAAGAAGCAAAGCCGATTTATCGACACACTTGGTCCACCGGTTCAGGTAAATATTGGAAAGATTGACTTGATGTAATAAATAAAGGATCGTGCTTTTCTAACTTTTTAATTTAGGGCCATCTGATGAGGAACAAGAAGAACCGAATGAAACACGCGAAGATTCGCCAGAAGTTGCTAAGACTGCAAATGTGGAAAATAACAAGTTGCTGGCAAAGCCAGTAAGTCTTTTTTCTAAAATAATCTATTTATTTGTAACCTCCATATTTTTTATTATTTATAACTTTAGAGAGTCCCGATCTGGCGCTCCCAGTCTGCAGCAACAACAGCAACAATTCAAAAAGACGAAGGAGTACGACGTATTCGGAAAGTCAAGGTAAATTTTCTATTCGAAACAACAGTTATGAATTAATCTTTAGGAAGCTCACGAGTGCTTAGAGATTGGTGAACAAGACGATTATAAACAGGATCTCGAATACATTTTATCCTCGTTGGCCAACCAAAATGCAAATATCAATACGAAATGCTTGAGGTAACTAAAAAGGTTCTCCTCCAACTATAACAACATGTGTTTAGTGCTATAACTTTGGCGAAGAAGTGTATTACTTCCGATTTTCGACAGTTCATTAGAACGAAGGGACTGATTGGAGCAGTGTTTCGATCGTTGATTGATGCACCATCAGATGCGGTAGGTTTAAAATTAGTAAATGGTTTATTTTCTAGTTGGTTCATTGTTTTATTTAGAACTTCGCTCTATGTGCAGCAACAGTCGTCTATTTGATGTGTCGAGATCATATTTCGGTCAAAGCTGATGCCACAACATTGCGACTTCTATCGAGTTTGCTCAAAATGGAGACGGGACCACTTTGTCAAGTCGACGAGAAATATAAGAAACAAGTTTGTTTCACGAATGGTGTTGTTTAGACAATTAGCTTTGCAGGTTCACGACATCTTTAAAGCTTATGTAAAAAACAGCGAATCAACTGGACACAAAATTGCATTTGATATCGATTTAGAAAATATTTCGGTAAGTGCGCTTAGCATTTCCATGTTTAAGATCAGGTTTTAGCCTTCATCTCTTGTTCTCGAAGCATTGGTCTATGTTTTGTCAAAGAATCACGAGGAAGCTGTGAAGAATGAGTTGTTGACACAAGGAGCACTACAATGGGTTGTCACTAAAGGTAAACTAAAAGTTAGTTTTGACCTTAATGAGGTAATGTTTAGTTGAGAAGATAACACAAAGCCTTGAAGAAAGCCAAACTAATGAGACAGCACAAAAATTGTTAATTCCGTTAGAACGATGTTTCCGTGTCCTTGAGATGGTTGGTTGAAAATTATTAATCAATAAATGCAAAATCGAAGTATTCCGTGAAATAATTGGTTTATAAAAGAGCAAAATTTTTAGTGCACTCTGTTCCACAAGAAGAATCAAGCTTACCTCATCAGTCATCGTGGAAGTGTTTTAATCAACTCTTGCGCAAAGTAAGTTTATGGGAACAATTTGTCATTCTTTGCAAAAAAAATACACTAAGATTCACCTTTATAACCTGATCTGCAAACTTTATCTTTTTAGACTTATTGCTCTCCAACAAGAAAGGGTGTCTCGATGTGAAACAAATTCTGAACTTGCCTATGCTCATCTTGGTTGCTTATCGATGATGGCTCGAGTTTTGATGAATTTAAGTCATGAGAATGGTAAGTTTAATGTCTCGATTTGTCTATAAAATATTTTAATAGCTGTTGTTCGAGTAATCGAGTCTCTTTAGAGCTTTGCTGCACGAAACTCGGACAAATTCCCGGCTTCCTACCATTGTGTCTTTCTTCATTTACCTATATCGCTCCAAAATATGCCGCCGACGATAAGAAATTTGATCTCTACGTTATGGTTAGTTATTGTTTTCAAAAACCTTTTATATTTCTTTTTAGATGTGTTCCCTTCTTGTGAATCTCGTTGAACGTTGCAACTCGAATCGACGAAAATTGATTGGTTCTCAAATAAGAACATATGATCCGGTGACAAAAGAGGAAACGGAGTTGCCCGTCTTGGAAGCTCTAACAAAGGTATCACATATTTTGTTTGTAAAGTTTTAAAAAGAAGTTTAGCTATTTCTTTCTCGGGAAGAGGCGGCGAAGAATATTGATGAAGATCTTGACAAAGATTTGGTCATGGAAGAGCCGGATATGAATGAGAATGATAATGAGGAAAACGACGATGATGATGTTTGGTTTTGATTGCTTAAAGAAGAAGACAGTAAAAACGACATAAAGAAATGTGCAAAGATTATGAATAATTGAAATGATCCATGGATAAAATATTTTAGGGACCAAGAGAGGATGGTCGCCTTGATCGGGGTCGTTTGGAGGATATGAGTGAAGCAGAGATGTTGATGCATGTGCAAAGTGCGATGAATAAGGTATGCTTGCTCATTTTGCATAATTTGGCTAAATGTTTAGGCTTCGGCTCATATGGAGGACAGTGTCGTGGCTTCATACGTTGCGCTTTTGATTGGATGTCTTTTACAGCAAAATGAGGTGGATTTAAAACTCTAAGATTAAAATTTTATGAACATTCAGGAAGCAGCAAACCGCGTCCGTGAACTTCTGCCCGATGGACGTTTGGATTCGATGATCGAACAATTGCATCGTTTCTTGGAGTTTATGAATATTGCGGTGAGCTTTTAAGAATTAGTTGAAATTTTTAATATTCAAAAATTAAGTACGTATCAAGCTTTTCAATATTTCTTGCAAATAATATTGAAATTTTCTTTTCTTGCAATTCTAAGCAAAAGTCCGTTTTATAAATTTAATGATTTTAGAGCAGCAACAAGGGTTGTCGATCGATTGAGAAGATTGTCGAGTATCTCGAAAGGATGAATTCCGAATGATTTGTTGGTTTTAGGATCTTATCTATTCTTTTACTAATGTTACACTCAAAATTATACGATACTATGAAACTTGTCTGGTTTATTGATCTCTCGTTTTTCAATCATCATCACTTGTTATTCTATCTATTTCTTAAATATTAAAGATCATGTTTTTGCATTCAAACATTTTCTATTGACTGCTATTGATTTGCTCATGAGACAAATTATGATTGTTAGTTGTTTGTGCCAATTTCTCGACAACCAAAACTCGTCTTGGTCATACCATTTCCTTAAATCCCCGTGTTTCTCCATACGAGTCATTCAGTTTTTTGTAGAAAAGCATCCCTATTTTTTCGATTGAGATACTTGTTTGTGTTTTATTGAATTAGATGCTTTATATTTCATATTATTTTCGGCCAACTGTCATATTTGTTTGTTTCAGATAAATGCGTTTAAAATCTAGGGAATTTTTATTTTATTGGGGTAATTGTGTTATTATTTGAGCTTTCGATGAGAGGTCGTTTAAAGTGAATCGTAGAGCGGAAAATTTCAAAGTAGATTCGACGGAGTTCGCGATGTCGCCACATGTAGATACCGAAGTTTGCGAAGGCCTGGAAAATTTTGGATTGAATAGGGAAATAGACAAATTCCAGCTTAAAATTAGCTTTGTCAATCAAAATTTGAACTTATAGCTAAATGCTGATTGCTAAATTCAAATCGCGCGTACCTTTGTTAAAAATAACACAGTACATAATAAGGCGCCAATCGGAAGAATAACCGATTGCGACGAGTTTTGTCAACAAATCGGGAAGCAGAAGAAATATAATAGCTGAGAGAGTGGTTAAACCTGTAAATATTTGACTGTTCGACGTTTTTTTCCATTAAAATTTACCCATTGTGATATGAGCCGATGAGTAATTGGTGGATTGGATCGGGTTGAGGTCACGAGTGCGCAGGGTTCTCTGGAAAATCGGGATTTTTTTTCGATTTAGAGAACTTTCAGGGGAGTGGGACAAATGCGACCTTTTTTTTGCGCACTTAGCCCAGGAGCGCACCTTTTTTCGCGTTTTAAAAAGCTCTAAAAAGCTAATATTAACCAATTTCTATTCCAAAAGTTGTTTTTCTAGGTAATTTTAGGGCGTAGAATCAAAAAATTTGACATATCAGAGCTTGTGGAAGCGAACGGACGGAGTTATACAAAGAGAAAAATCGACAATTTTGATTTGATCGTAATTTGAGTAATTCGATCTAGTCGTTTTGTCTTTCAAATTGGTTCCACAAGCTCTGATATGTCAAAATTTCGATTCTACGCCCTAAAATTACCTAGAAAAACAACTTTTGGAATCGAAATTGGTTAATATTAGCTTTTTAGAGCTTGGGTGCGAAAAAAGGTGCGCTAATGGGTAAGGTGCGGAAAAAAAGGTGCGCAAATGTCCGGGTGCGCAAAAAAAAGGTAGCATTTGTCCCACTCCCACTTTCAGCATTAGATTTCTTCAATGCGCTTGCTAAAAGGTGGAAAGTTTCGAAAGCTATCTTCAGTTTTTGTTCGATTCATTTAATTTTGAAAGCTTTCAACGAGGAATCATTGCTTATCGAATGAGATCAAATTAGAAATAGAAATTAAAAAAAAAAATCGAAAGAAAAGATTACTTTTCCAAATGCCAAATCCAAATATCCACCTTTTAGAAAAAGCCTATTTTTGAATATTTGATACATTTCTTTTTTGCTAATCCCACCTTCCACAATAGAATTGCGATCACTGTGTAAACGGGAATCGTCAACGCAACGGAAACCATTCGATTATACGAGTAGAAATCGTTGAGAAATGAATTTGGGAAATTCCAATACGGACAATAATAGGCCATCAAACGAGTGTCCAACAAATTGAGCACACAATTCACAACGTAGAAAAAGGTGGCGACGATGAATGGCACTGAAAAGGCGGTGGAGTTGGAGAACAGAAAGAGAAACGCCTTTCGAATCGGTTCGGTAAACTATTAGATCAATTTTCATTAATTTAAGAATAGCATTCAGCATTGTAAATTCAGATTATACTATCAGATTATACTACAGATTTAAAGAATTGTTATTTTTAGATGTTTAGAATGTTTAAAATTCAGGATCGTCACTAGAATGGCTGTTAAATCTAGCTACTAGATTTCTGTAAATGTTTGAGAATAAAATCGGTACCAATGGATTGGTGTGAGCGCACTTTGTGCTCAAATGTAGACGCACCCTTTCTGGTGCACTGTTTAACGAGAGGAACGGTCTTTTATGGGAATAAAAGGATCTTTTTGCTCGATTTCTCACCCTCTCTTCCACTCACCCGACATCAACAAAACGCTCATCCTTGGCCCAAACGCGTAGTACTTTGTCGGCCACATCGTTGCAATCAAGCGATCAATTGCGACCATTAAATTAATCGATCCTAACACTTGAACACTGATAAACATGGTGATACAAGTGACACTGAATGAGCATAAAGCCGCATCAACTGGTGGCACTAAAGGAAGAGTTTATAAAGTAAACATGAATATGTGATGAAAAGAAATGCACAACCCCTACCACCCTAATATCCCTGAAGATCTTAAAGATCTTGCAAATGTAGATGGAAGAAGAGCCAAGTTTTTCTAGCCAATTTTTTAGACGCTGGGGTCGAACCCATGATCGCTCGACTAGGAGACAAGACTCTTAACCACTCGGCCATGGCGAAATCCGCGACGGCCGTGAAAAATCAGCTTTAACTCACTTGTTGAATTATAGTTTCCTCCATAAAAGATATATTTCTCCAAGTTTTGATAACCAAATGCTAAAGCGTAAAAGACGTCGGCGGCAATGAGGAAAAGAATTGTGACGAGATCTTTGCGCTCACGATAAGTCGGCTTTCGGAGAATCGCGACGGCTAATGGGGTTGAGATGAGAATGACGCCAAAACCTGAGGAATCACGTGGAAATGAATGAAATGATACGATTATGTTTGTCTATAGAAGCTACAAAGAAATACAAAGACTTTCAGTCTTAGACAAGGTGAGGGCTCGATGTTTTTTTCATGAGCTTATCTATTGTTTAAAGATCAGGTAACTAAAGTAGGGTTATCCCAGGTCGGTAAGCCAGCTAGACTTCAAAGCCAGGCCCAAGAATTGCTTTAGACTAGAAGCTAGGCCAAGGTCTGCTTTTGACTGGCCTAGATGCTCGGTTTGACCCTGGAAAAACGTTTTGGAACAGTTTTACTTAAATAGTTTAGAAATTAAACAATTAATAGCTAGATTTTGTTAACCAAAACTTGCCACATACAGAATAAAACTGATCAGTCTTTTACAGAGACTTATACATTTAGCTATAAGTTCCAACAGTTTCAGAGACTTATACATTTACCTATAAGTTCCAACAGTTCCATTTAGCTATAAGTGGAACAGTTTAAACAGTGGAACAGTTTAAAACTGTTCCAAACCGATTTTTCTGGCTCAATTCTGGTAAATCTGGTATTTTGAAATCGTTGTCTATAAAAGACTGGTACATAAAACAAATAAAATCCTTTTCGCAACCTATTGAGACATTGTACATGTACGTGTACATTTTCGAGTCATTTGTCTTTATTGTACCTGTGATTGTCAAAGAAAAAAAAACTCACATTCACCGACGATGAGCCCGCTGAGAAATGGATTTCGTGTAGACATAAAATCTTTGAAAAGTTGATAAATAGAAAAATTTATTTATAAGAATATTGTTTCTTTTTGAATCGTTTATCTGAAATGAAAGAATTCTCAAATTTTTGAGCACAAAATTTCCCAAATTCAAAGAACAAATGAGGAGAAATTGAATTTTGACGGAAATCAAGAAGAATTTTGTGACAATCGTGTCGATAAGTGAATTTTTTTGAGTAAACGACTGATCAGGTGAGTGGGAAATGAAATTTTCAACGGGAAATGAGGCCACGAGACAAATGTTTCTGGTATTTCATTACGGAGATTACATGTAAATGTTCTTTGAAGACTTCTTGACCTCATTTACTCATTGAAGATTCATTTAAATGATTTTATTAAGCTTTAAAATTAAATAAGAAAACAAGTACATCAGGAAGGGTGCGTTCACATTGGCACAAAGTTCACATTGGCACGCAAAACGAGTTCAAATGAGTTCGCAAACGCAAACGCAAACGCAAACGAGTGTACTTTGTGCTGCATTTTTGATGCATTGGATTCCTCCTTGTTTTTCTTGCGTTGTAAAGTCGTTGCTTCAAGAAAATGACAAAGGAAACTAGAAAAGGAAGTTTATATAAACACAAAGTACTCGAAAATGTACCGGAAGATTGAGATTACGAAAAGGATTTTATTTGTTTTATGTACCAAATTTATAGACAACGAATTCCTCAAGCGATCGTCTCAAAGCAGAATCAAGAGACGTGACACTCAAAAATTTCGCTTATTTTTAAGTGCAATATATTGGGGGAAAAGGAAATGAGGAGAAATCGACAAATACAATCCGTCAAATGATACAAAGAATCCAGTAACTAGAAGTGATCTCCAGTGATCCAGTGACTAGAAGTCTTGTTTTCGAATCGATTACTATGAAAAGGTTTCTAGATAAATTTCAATTTCAAATCTATTAAAGTACTAAAGTACTCTAGCTTGTTTATAAACAAAAGTACATGTACATTGTAAACAAAAAGTTTTCTAACATTGAAAAAGTTAGATACAAGATATGAAAAGCTTCTCCTCTCAAATAATCAGCTTTTAAAACATTTCAACTTGTTAAACGACAATCTTGTCTCTGTCTCTTGTCAAACTAGCGTAATCTTGTCTTTATTTTAATCAAATCTACAGTACTAGACAATGAAATATCATATTTGAAAAACGATCGTCACTTTTGCGCGTCTGTAACTCCCTTGTCTTTGAGTTTAAACTATTAGTGTTATACATTTTCTGAAAGCTCTTTTCAAGGGCTACACAATGGTAATATTAATATTTAGAAATAAGGTAAAGACAAGGGAGTTACAGACGCGCGAAAGTGACAATCTT